ATGCCCAAAATAAAGAGATGAATCTCATAGTTTATTAGATATAATCCGTGTAAAGTTTGCTTATCATTTTCGCATAAATTATGACCTAAATTTGGAAACCGCTGAATTTCTCGAATTGGGTCTTTGCGATTTTGGTGAAACTCTGTTCAGCGCAAGGCACTAATGTGCACTATGTGTAGCCGAGAGATTTTCACGAAAAAATGCCAGCAACAGCAGATTTTAGACTCAGACCTCAAAGGGGCGTGGCATTATAACCACGTGACATTTACTCCGATCGCCAAAATTTTTATGTTATATTGTAGATTGATCTATATGTTATCCATTCTATGTGTTATACTTACGATAAAAGTAAAGGTGGGGATACCAGAGAGCTTCAAAGTAGGATGGTACCCCCCCAAAAAAACTGGGTCGAGTCACCTTAAACTAGGAATTATTTTGACTGAATAATAAAACAATTATTGAATTCGGCTTTCTTATCATATGAAGAATTATGGAGATCTCGGAGGGTGTTATCCGCCTCGGCCTACGGCCTTGATGGATAACACCCTCCTCGATCTCCACAATTCTTCATAAGATACTCAGCCTCATTCATTAATTGTTAAATAATATAATTTATTAGTCAAATCCCCCTAAAGTGCTTTACAGAAAGGTCCTCCTGCTAAAAAAAACATTAAGTGAAAAAGACAAAACTATAACTAATTACTAAGAACTCACTATCAATTAATCAAATTGTTACACTGCAGATAGCCTTTTTAAATTAAATTGTCGAGTGACTTGAGCTCCTTCAATGACTTACATGTGTCCAGATTACTCAATTCATTTGAAACAAAATTTGTCGTAGTTTAAAGACCCCAGTTTCTACATTATGTATTTGAAAAAGTGTTACGTACATTATTCTTAGACCCAGTGAGATCGAGGAGGGTGTAGCCCGATGTTCAGCGTCATTCAATAATTGTTAATTATACATTAATTTTGACATTACATTTTTCTCTTTAAAAAAAGTTCATCAGTAACTTTTCACAAACTCTATCTCTCACATCAATTAATTTTCTAGAATTAAAAGGGTAAATAAATTAAGCTTACTGAGTATTCAAGCTAGCATGGCACGCACAAAAAGGGGAGGGGAAAGGGGGGGGGGGGAAAAAAGCATGAAAGCAGGGAAAAGGGAAGGCGGCGCCTGCTATAAGAGCCTGTGTTTTTGTTTTCACCCACCCATTTTTTAAACTAATCCAAAATTGTCAAATGTCAATATGTGCCCAATAACAAGTTGGAGGCTTTTCAGCATGGTAATTTATTTATTTTGTTTACAAGAAATTGCCAGGTCTGAACGCTTTTTTCAAGTGTTATCATAATAAATCGAGAACAATAAAAAGGGGGGGGGGGGAAAAAAGCATGAAAGCAGGGAAAAGGGAAGGCAGCGCCTGCTATAAGAGCCTGTGTTTTTGTATTCAACCCACCATTTTCTCAACTAATCCAAACATGTCAAATGTCAATATGTGACCAATCACAAGTTGGGGGCTTCTCAGCATGGTAACTTAATTACTTTGTTTACCAGAAATTGCCAAGTCGAGACGCTTTTTTCAAGTGATATCATAATAAATCGAGCAAAATAAAACATTTTTACTATTCTTGCTCAAGCCGCAGCAAACACGACAAATCTTCTACTGCTTGCATTCTATGACAAACAGTGATCAGTTTCGTGTGAATACACAAGACCTTTGGTCTTACCTCATCAAACATAATGGTCACAAAGAACAGAACACCAGCAGAACAGTTGCCAGCCTCAGAGACGCGAATAATGAAAAGAGAATTAAAACAATTGTCATAAAGCTCAACAATAAATTTTACCAAAGCTTCAGCTCTCTCTTTACAAACCATTTAGCAGTTCATTCAAGGTGTATGTTTTTACGGAAAAGGCAGCCTTCTGAATATCGGAATTGCAGATGTCTGGCAAAAATTGCAATCACCTTAAATCACCACTCAGTGTTTGGACAAATCCAGTATACAAAACCTCCTGAGCATCTCTGACTGCTAACAAGCTATAACAGCTGGCTCTAGTTTGGGTCTAATGTGAAG